TCGTGATTTTGGATTTTCATTTTTCTTTGATTTGAAAAAAAACGACATCGTTTAGCCTTGTTTCCGTTTCAATTTTCTAATTTTCCTCCAGATGTCCATTTCTTTCTGACAGTTTAAACATTAATCATAAATGTTTTGTTTTTCTTCAAAACCAGTCCTCTTCATCTGGTGGGCCCTGAAAAACAAGGCCTGGACTATTTTCAAATTTTCTTGGGCCTTCCGCCACTGATGCTATCCTTTTTCTTTTTTTTTTTTGGATTTACAATTTGCAAACGTAATTAAGGAGCCAAGAGAAGAAAATGAAGGACACCAACATTCCAAAGATTTTCTGCAGTGGTTTATTTGATTGTTTCTCCTATTCCACCCCAAATCTGAACTGAACCCAAATCTTGCTTCTACTTCCCAACTTCACATCTGGGTTCTGCTCTCCACGCCTGTTTCTGCCCTTCACTCAAAGGTACCTGATCTGGGTCTTCTTTCTTCAATGTGTTTCCAATTTTCCATTTTGAGATAAATTTTGGGTTGTGATTATTTCAATTATTGTGGGTTTGGAATGTTAAGAGGTTTACCTAACTTTGATGGTGGCTCTCATGGTTGGATCTTTCTTTCCTGCGTATTTTGCTTCTTCATTTCAAATGGGTAGCTCTCAAGTATTTGCTAAATAGTGATGTCACAGCTTTCTCGTATTTTTATGGTAATTGGATTACAAGTATCTTGTATTTGGCATTCAAGTGTGAGTTTCTTTCCTCTTTTCTTTATAAAAATTACGTCTTGTTCCTGAAAAAGTGTCATCTTCTGTAACTGTTGTCCTATTTGGACAATTAGTGGGTTGGATTAGAAGCAAAGCTGGGAAAACGATAAGCCAACTCTTGTTGTTGCTTTATAAAGGGTAGTTAGTTATGGAAATAGAGTTTGCCATTAATTAGCTTCTATTTTTGTGTTGGGTCATTGGGAGGATTTCTTGGGAAAATTTTGCTACTTTATTTTAACAATTATTATCTTGTGCAGATGACTAAGCTTTAATGCTCTAACTGGTGTTGGACAACTGGATTCTACAATGGAAAAACGTAAATGGTTGTGGAAGAAAAGACCCTCTGAGAAGAGCCCTGGTGAAACTGAGAGTTCTGGTTCAATATCTTCATATTCTGGGAGATACTCTGATCAGCAGGTTGATCCCTAAACGTATTTTCATTCGTTTAGTGTTCCACAAAACTTGAAAACAATGTTGTTGTTTCTTTATTATTTTCTTTCTTTTTCTTTTTTTTTTTTCTTTTTGGTTATTAACTGTTGTTTTTCTTGCCTGTTTGTTTTGTGCACTTTCAACATTAATGGCTAAAATTATGAATGGGGAGATATAATAGGTGCCTTAAAAGAAATATGGATTTTGGTACCAGTTTAACTCCCATGAAGTGGTTTGTGAAAGAGAATAGTAAAGCTGCCTTGTGTCCAAATCATGTTATATTGTTATGACTAGACAGATGGATGTGGTGTGGCCCTTGCTGTATTACAACTAAATCTGCATGCTTAAGTTCTGTGATAAACTGTGTTCATAACTGGTAATGGCTAGATTACTGATGTAGAAGTATAGTTTTATACTTGGAAAAGCACATAAGATGGATGCCTTCATTTTAATATGCTGTCTTTTGATGAGGATAAGATTATATTTTCTAATGCTCTTTTGAAATGGGAAGTTACCTATTGCATGCTTTCATTGTGGGTTTCTTTTTTTTTATCCCTCTTTTTCCTTATTTTGTCCTTATGGGTTAATATCCTGTTCAAACTTTCTCCTTCCCTGTCCCCTTCAATGAGTTGATAATTTCTAATCAAATTAGGAGGCCTGAGAATCTGGTTGATTTGGTCATATATTGGTTCTTCATCTATTCATTTTTTAATCATTGCAACAGGAGGCTTTCAAGACATCTCCTAATAATAACACTCAATCTCCTGAAGTCTCCTCAGCAGCTTCAGCAAACTGTGAAGATGTTGATGATAGTGTAAAGAGCCTGACAGAGAAATTATCAGCTGCTTTGGTAAATATCAGTGCCAAAGAAGAGCTGGTGAAGCAACATGCCAAAGTTGCTGAAGAAGCTATTGCAGGTCATACCTATATACAATATATTTGGAGAATATGTTCTTTGCATTTTTCTCTTTCATTTCCTATTTTGATAATTGTCTCTGGTTATAAATATTTCATTGAATTACTGATTTTAGGTTGGGAAAAGGCTGAAAATGGAGTGCAGGTATTAAAGAAAAAACTTGAGGCTGCAACCCAGAAAAACTCAGCACTAGAAAATCGGGTGAGTCATCTTGATGGAGCTCTGAAGGAATGTGTCAGGCAGCTAAGACAAGCAAGAGAGGAGCAGGAGCAGAAGATCCGTGATGCTATCACAAAGACAACGCGTGATTGGGAAACTACCAAATTTGAACTTGAAAGCAAGCTTCTTGAGCTCCAGAAAAACGCTGAATCTGTTAAGCCTGTGCCCTCTACCCACTCTAGTCCTGATAACTTACGTAAGATTGAAACTTTAGAGAGAGAAAATTCAGCCCTCAAGAATGAGCTCCTATCTCAATTAGAGGAGTTAGAAATGAGAACAATTGAAAGGGACTTGAGCAACCAGGCAGCTGAAACAGCTAGTAAACAACACTTGGAGAGCATAAAGAAGGTAGTAAGGCTTGAGGCAGAATGCCGAAGACTTAAAGCAATAGCTTCTAAAGCCTTTGTTAATGATCGTAGAACCACTGCTGCCTCCTCAGTTTACGGTGAATCTCTCACTGACAATCAATCAGACTATGGGGAACGGCTTAATGCAGTGGATATTGATATCCACAAGAGGAGTTGCTTGGACTCATGGACATCAGCCCTAATTACTAAACCTGACCGATTTAGAAATGAAAAGGTCAATGATAGAAGTTTCCCATCCTCAATTGACATCACTCTAATGGATGATTTTCTTGAGATGGAGCAGCTGGCTGCAATCCATGAGACCAAGAACGAAAATCAATGTGTAGAAGCAAAAACCACTTCCAAACATTCTGATGATGATGAGAGCTCATTACGAGCTGAGCTTGAAGCCATGGTTCGTCTCATGGCTGAACTAGAAGATAAGTTGGAGAAAATGGCAATGGAGAAGGCTGAGCTACAAGAGAAGTTGGAGAGGATGGAAACAGAGAAGGCTGAACTAGAGATTGATCTAACCAAAAGACAAGAAAGTGTTGAAGCATCAGAACTACAGTTAAGAGAGATTCAAATGAGGTTGGAGGAGTTGCAAAAGGAGTTGGGTATGGCAAATGAGTCAAAGCAGCTTCTTGAGTCCCAACTTATTAGCTTGGAAATGGAGACTCAGACGATGTATGCAAAGATTAACTTTTTAGAAGCTGAAGTTGAAAGGGAAAGAGGTTTGGCAAAAGAATCAAAGCAGCTCATTGAATCCCAACTTGTTAGCATGGAAGCGAAAACTCGGATGATGTCTGCGAAGATTAACTTATTAGAAGCTGAGGTTGAAAAGGAAAGAGATTCATCAAAGCAAATCACAGTCAAGTGTCAGGAATTGGAGGAAGAGCTGTCTAGAAAGAGACAGGAAGCTGAGCTCCAGCAAGCTGCATGCACGGTGGAAACTCAGACGATGTCTGCAAAGATTAATTTATTAGAAGCTGAAGTTGAAAGGGAAAGGACTTCATCAAAGAAAATCATGGTCAATTGTCAGGAATTGGAGGAAGAGCTGTCTAGAAAAAGACAGGAAGCTGAGCTGCAGCAAACTTCAAACTCTAATGTTGATATGAAAATAAAACAGGTCAGTCTTCAAGCTACTTTCTGATGCATGTCTAATAATCCATCAATTTGTGCTTTTACTTAAGGGTTTTAAACAGCAAATTGTATACCGTGCTTCTAATTTCACAAAACATGCCTCTGTCAGGAGGACATTGCTGTAGCTGCTGGAAAGCTTGCTGAGTGCCAAAAAACAATTGCATCTTTAGGCAAGCAACTGAAATCTCTTGCAACTCTGGAAGATTTTTTCTTGATTGACTCTACAAGCTTACCAGAGCTGGAGTTCCCTGCGGCAGGAAGCAGGGCTGGAGGATCTTTGATTCCTGGAGCTGCTGGAGAACCATGGAAATTACATTCTAATGAAACATTTCCACCCAGAGGAGCCTTCAATGCCCCAAAAATGGTCGGTGACAGTTCAGCTCCTTCAGAAATTAAGAATAATGGGGACTCACCACCATCTTCGTCCTCATCCTCATCAACATTCTCTTCAAATCACGCCAGTTCTGAGAATAACCGAAATGGATTTGCAAAGTTTTTCACTCAAAGTAAGGAGGGTATTCAGCTGGAAATTTAAAAAAGTTGGATCAGCTAGAGAAACCTGTAATTTGTTTTTCATTTAATAAATACAGATTAAATGCTGTTTAATCACCAGTAGTTAGATCAAGATACATTTTTGCTCATTTATACTTGAAATGGTGGTCCAGCAATACAAATGTTTTTGGTTATTTTTAGTAACTCCATCAATGAATATGTCAAATTTTCTCTTTCTAGACGGTTGGGTTTCCCCCTTTATCACCATTTTTGCCTTGTTAGCTTTAGAAAGTCAAAATGGCATGAAATCAGCCCAATTACTTGGTTTTTTATGTGTCAGGAAGGAGATATCATTGTCTAGCATGCTTGGAAATCCCAGTGTCATAGGGAAAAGGGTTAATGGATTTTATTACTGTAACTTGGGAGTAAAGTTGGCGTCTGCCTAGAGTAAGAGTGCAGCAAAATTTCACATGGATGGCGGTATGCTGGTATCCTATACCTTTCATGGCAGCATCGAGGGGGACAATAGGATGGAACCACATGAGGATGATGGATAACCACACTATAAACCAAATAAAGCTAGCACTTTGTAAATTGTAAATTTGTATTGTATTGGAGACATGTATATGCAAGCCATCATGTGTAAACAGCTACAGCGAGGGCGTTAAGAATTTGAAAAAGGAAAGGAAAAAAAAATTTATTGGGGTGAGAGAGGCTCGAACTCTCGACCTCAGGATAACTCAGAAGCTATGAGACCTACGCGCTAGCCAACTGCGCCACCACCCCGTGATGGTTGTGTTGTTAAAACTATTTCATTATCAAAGAGAGTACTGTATACAATCTGGCCGCATAGACACCAGTAGCAAGAGACCCATCATTTCTATTAATAATAAAATGAATTGTAGTTTGTACACAGCAACACGTTACTTTTCTGAATATCAAAATTGAGTTGGATCTTTTCAAAATTTTGTAGTATATGTTTTGTAGA